GCATGACTCCTATATGTATGATTTCGTATTACGCAGCAATTTGGTGAGTAACATGATTTCTTTTCACGCTGTATCAAAATGAACATATCATGCCAAATTTAATGGACTTTTTCCCCTACGTGTACAATCATGATGTGAACACACTAATGATTGTACAAATGAATTTTTGGCTTTTTTTCCTGACAACTTTACATTTGGCCATGTTTGACAAAGCATTTTTTAAGATTACTAGTTTAGGCACGTGCATTGCACGTGCTGTTTTTTAATTGGGTATTTAATAGTGTTGAGTGATTTGAAGGTATTTTTTTTACTATAAGTAAGGTATTGTTTGTATAATTGCATGAAGTAATATAATTGTGAAATTTTGTAGCAAAGCATGTTCATTTTTTCTTTTTCTTTCACATTTCTTTTCTTTTTTCTTCTTTAGTTTATTTGGTTCTTATAGTGTGTATGTATACATATACATGGGGATCAAATATAGTAGAATGGTTATAATTTGACTATTGCTAGTGTAACCAGGTGAAACATGTAGAAGAAGCAACTGGTAAAAAACTCACGGAAGGCAAAAGTAAAGAATAATTAAATAAAGATGGATTAAAACCAACAAACATGTTATGTACACTAAACTGCAGAAAGTAGTTCACATTCGGAAAACTTTTGATATCCAAGGGTATTGCCAACAATTTGGAAACTGAAAATAATGATGACCATTTGGAAGAAAAAGAGAATTTTAATACAGTAGTTTGGATGTTGAATCAATCCCAAATTTCGAGCCAAAAAAAAAACCTACATCAGATCTTTAAACATAGAGAGGGAAAACTACAATTTACGAAAGTGTTCAACTTTCATTGGTAGGACAAACTTTGTACATCATGAACATTTAGGTTTCATTGTTCACAAGTATGAATATACACGTTACCTATTTAAAGTTTTTCTGTAACGTAGACTGACCACTCTACGCTGAAACGCCGGACTTCACCATTTGTTCTTACATTTGTTTGGACTGGCCAATTGTGGCGTAAACGATCATGGATTTGGATATTTCAGACAAATTTTTGTAGATGTACTCGAGCGAAAGCGCCGGGTATATTTTGCAAAACCATTCTCTTTACATCAAGGCCCTTTTCAAAAACCATTGTATTCAACACCTCCAAGGTGATTTAAGCCTACGTTTGGTTCATGTTTACAATCTGTTATATTAAAATTCAAACTACTTTTTATCCAAACATTTGAATGACTTATTCCAATAGAAAAAAAAAAAGGTGATTAAGCCTAGTTTGGCTCATGTTTACAATCTGTTATATTGAAATTTAAACTACTTTTTATCCAGATATTTAAAGGACTTATTCCAATTGAAAAAAAAAATAAAAAACATTTGAAGGACTCACAAGCATTACCCATTTATATACTACTCATTTTAGTTTATTTATAATTTGAACTGTTTGTAAACAATTCCCAAAATTGATTTAAAGAAGACAAGATATAGGAGCCCTAGGAAACAATTATTCTCTCCAAACACCAAAATATAAAAGTTGAACAACTCAAACAATAACCAAAATAGCCAATACCATCGCATGCTCAACCAAGATCCTGGCGTGAAGTCTATACCTCCAGAAAAATTGAGGACGACTTTCATGGGATATGCAATATTTTAATCATCTTATATTTACATGGATAGAAGGAAGGAGAATTAAAAAAAAAAATTAATTAACCACCTCTCCCAGGAACATAGCTGAGAGTACAACCGAGAAGAAGGGCTCCATGGCTTTTATTGTGTGAGTTAATGAAACAGCAATTTTCCAAGACTCACATTGGTGAAAAGGTTGCCTAAGGTGTGCACCACTGCCAGTGGCAGAACAGGTGCAAGCTGTCAATGTAAATTCAAGATAAATTTTCTTACTTATAATTGTCAAAACTACATAGTAGAATCACTGCTGTAACATTACCTGTGCGCCACTAATTTTTGGCCTTTTATAAAGATTGGTCGTCCACATGAGAATAACAAGCACAGTCCCAACAGCAAGTTGGGCTAAAGGGACGGTTACAGGATATGGGTATACTTTGAGCACCTGAGACAATTTATAATCATCTTAACTTTCAATAATCAAGGTTAGAAATTTCTGTTACAAAGTTCATGATGCAACTTANCCTGTGCGCCACTAATTTTTGGCCTTTTATAAAGATTGGTCGTCCACATGAGAATAACAAGCACAGTCCCAACAGCAAGTTGGGCTAAAGGGACGGTTACAAGATATGGGTATACTTTGAGCACCTGAGACAATTTATAATCATCTTAACTTTCAATAATCAAGGTTAGAAATTTCTGTTACAAAGTTCATGATGCAACTTATACCACACAATTGAAATACATGATAGTTGTTTATATTTCCAATACAAAGGACCTAATTTCAAAACAACCTTGAATTACCCACCAAAGGTGCAACAAACAGAGAGTTATTAAAGCTCAAATATGGAAACTTGAGTGAATACAATTAGATGCAGAGGTGTCACAAAATCTAAGACTAATGTGAACTCCAAGACAGAAAATATTCTCCAACGCGTCATTAACAAAATAAATAACACTAACAATCAT